TCGGACTCGTCGGTCGTAGTGCGTGACGATCATACACATTTACCTGATGGAACTGATATGGAAATATTACAAATTAGAAAAACTTTAAAACGTAAAGTTATGGAAGAATCTGGCCCAATAGATCGTATAGTCGAAGAAGCATACCACGCTGCTAATCGTCAGTCTGAATCCAGTGATTTGATTATTAACTTACCGTCGATTTATATAATGAAAAATACATTACAAAAACAACGTCGTAAGACTCGTAATCGATTGAACAACTTTCGTATCCATTACCCGACGTTTATTGCAAAATAACAAAAAGGGAGTTATTTTTATTATACGATGGGTCACTTGGTGGTACTCGTTCACTCGTTTTTGCATCCTATAATGATATCGTTTATCTATCACAACAAGAATACTGGTACAGTGATGGTACATTTTATACATGTCCATCCATTTTTTATCAAATATATTCGATTCGTGCATATTACGATGGAATGTCAACCCCATGCGTTTTCGCGTTACTTGGAGGTAAGTCAGAAGAAACTTATGTTGATTTGTTTTCAGTACTTTTCAGAAAAATGTCCGAATTCCAATTAGTTATCAAGTTACGAACTATTATACTTATTCTAACATGCATAATTTAATTTTACCAGACAAAAATACCCTGCACTCTGACGGCATTTCTAAAGATCGCACTGTTTTTCGGAAAAGGCGCTATTTTCTGTTCGGTTAATATTTTCTTTGTTACATGATATTTCTTCTGGTTTTCGGAAATGTTTTTCATGGCTATTTCTATTTCTGGGTTTAGTTTTTACGATAATGTTTGTTGAACAAACTCTGTATATCATTGGCTCAATCCTTTATAGGGCAAATACGAACCCAATGACACCTAAAAGTCAACATAATTGATGTTTTAGTCATTTTTACTCCCCTAAATAAGAGAGGATGCAACTAGTCTTTAGTATAGAAAAATAGCTCTTGAAAAGTTTTACAATATCTGTTAATGGGAAACTTAACGAAGCCTGGCAGCGCTCTTGTGTATTAAATACTTCGCCGCTTAATCCCTCAGTGGGTCCAAAAATTCTTGCAATGTTTGACCTGGCAATCGAGCCGATTTCTTCCAGACTTCAGCATAGATGTTTACACATATTTTCATGTAGACCGTTCGCTTATGCACGGCAGGCAAGAACCTTCATTTTTTTACACAACCGTCTAGTAAGACGGTTTGAAATTGTTGCAGATGCCTATAACCGCATGCAAAAGATATTCAGTGAATTATTTCATTAATCTTTTTCAACCTAAGCTACCACTAAAAGGCTGATATAGGAATGGTCTTATATACCATTCCTATATTAAAATCGCTTATAGCGCTTATAACTCGAGAAGTAACATGTATTTTTACAAGCGATTTTCACCATTCACCAGCACACTTTTCTCTACAAAATGATATTGAGCAGTGATCTTGGAATATGTTATGTTCAGACAATTCAAAAGAGACTATTCAAAAAGGACTATAGAAAATACGTGTTCACTACATCTGAGAGTGGACCTCAAACCACATATCTATATGCAAGTCAGAGCTTGGTAGTGCCGTGACACAAAAATATAAACTTCTTCCGAGAATAAAAGACCACTGGTCTTCTAGTTTGTTTGTCAAATCATGAATTAAAGAGCGATCTTCTATTAGAGGCATTCTTTTATTGCTCTTACCAGTCGGTAGCATATACTAGGGCTGTAGCCGTTCACGATAGCTTGGCAAAAATTTGAACGAGAATGATGACGGTTCTGAACTGCCAACGGCATCTCATCAGTTGACGTTCTAAACTTTCAACTGCATCTCATGAGATGCCGTTGGCAGTTCAGAACGTCAACGGCAAAACCGTCACCGTTCCCATTCAAATTTTTACCAGACCAAAGTGAACGGTTACAGCCCTAGTATATGCTACCGATTGGTAAGAGCAATAAAAAAGAATGTCTCTGATAGAAGATCACTCTTTAATTCATGATTTGACAAACAAACTAGAAGACCAGTGGTCTTTTATTCTCAGAAGGGATTTATATCTATTCTGTCACAGCACTACCAAGCTCTGATTTGCACATAGATAAGTAGTTTGACGTGTGCTCTATCCGATGCATAGCTTTTCTTTGCAAAGTTAAAGAATTTACGAGAACAGCTCTAAATTCATTTCTTCTTATTTCTGTAGCTTTGAGCTGACAGTGAACATTTAGGGCTTTCCTTGTAAAGTCTATAACTTCGCAAAGAAAGGTCGTGTAGAGCTGAAAGATGGCTCATTTTAATCAGAAATGTGCGGAGCACAATCATGTCTCATTAAGAAAGGTTTGGGTTATTTTCTATAGCTATTGAGAAATTTGTTTTCCAGAAAAACGGGTCACTGGAGGCCTAACTACTCGTCTCATGTTGATATTCGAAATCAGCATGGTCGGTTACCTATCACCCACTAGGTTTCGTTTCAAAAGCGATTGGACAGTTGCTGCACCTCGCTCGTCAGCTGGAAAGCGATATGTAACCTGAGGCGATTCCCTCGTGAGTGTGCTGTCACTGACAAACTACATTTGTGATGGCACTACTTACCATTCATCATCACATCTCTATTACAAAATATACTTACTTTTTGATAATATTGTTATTATTATCCTAGGTCTTGAAATACTCGAGAAATGATCATCATGTAACAGCAGTTCATCAATAGTTATTTCACAGAACGGCATCCACTCATGTATCCCAAGCGTCAAAAAAATCTAGTATCGCCCGATTCATCCAGATTATTAGGTTTTTACTCGATCGCAACTACTGTGTAACGACAATGGAAATCTAGTAATTGGGCGATTACTAGATTTTTCTAGTTGCAACTATCGATTTATCGCCCGATAATGGATCGATTTAACTATTACTAGATGCACGTGCAGACTCGTCTAGTTAAAAGTTCCTTTTCCAACCAGTAATCCAGATGGCCACTAGTCGTGTATCGCCCGATTACAGATGAAATGTATCTAAATTTTTCTCATTGGTGATATTTGCTTGGGTAATTTAGTAGAAGAAAATAAAATACGTCACTTGAGAGTAGAAGACTAGTCGGAGCGAAAGTGCTATGATATCTTATCTAATCGCACTGCCTGTAACAGATCAACGTACGGAAAAAAGTGAATCCCTATTAACGTTCATATTTAACGATTGAATTTCAATGACCTCTCTCATCTTTTTTAAATCGAACTTCCTAGATAAATAGTCTTCTATCTACCCACTTATGAACGATTAGCCACTTTATATTTAGTAACTAAAGAATATGATTCAGCAATTAAATATTATAAAATATTAATGATAAATACTGCTGATGAGAATGCTGATCACTTATATCGTTATCACACAAGTATTGCTATTTGTTATGAAAAGAAAAATAATTATATTCAGGCAATAACATATTATGAAAAAAGTTTATTATTAACAATAGATGAATTAAAACGCGGTGACATTTATTATGCATTAGCTAATATCTATTATCAACAAGACAAATATCATTTAGCTATTGAGTATTTTCAACTGTCTTTAACACAACTATGTGATAAATCAGATCGTACCACTATTCATCACAAAATTGCATATTGTTATTATTATGTAAGAGAATACGATTTATCAATTGATCATGGTAAAAAAGCATTAGTAATGCAACAAGTCAGTGGTAATAATATTCATATCGTGCATATAATAGCTTTGTGTTATGGAATGAAAAATGACTACGATAAAGCATTAGAATATTACAAAAAATGTTTAGAAATATGCAAAAAATTTGATTTATCAACATCGCAAATTTTAGATTCAACTGCATGCATTTACTATAGAAGAAACGAATATGGCGAAGCTATTGACTGTTGGGTAGAATTATTAGAACAACACGAATATAAAGGTATATTTTAAGCAAAAGGAATATCTTCCTAAGCTTTCGACGGCAGTGCAAGCATCAACAACAGCCTATAAAATACCTTATTTTACAGCAGACTGCATACAGATTTTTAACTTGAAAACATCGTTGTTTCTAGAGGTCATTGCAGAGGCCAACGATGTTTTGGCATATTACGCAGTAGATAAAAACAACATAGATAACATTTGTCTAAGGTTTTTTCGTCATAACACAAAAGTTTAGCAACAATGTAGCTTCCTTTTAATATCTAGACGTAAAACAAGACGGGGTTTGCATCTAATTGTTGTATAATAATATTTCTGACGAGGAAACCTCCCCAACTGACTAACGAGTTTCGACTCCATATTATTAGTGGAAGTAGATCTCGATGAGACTAGAAAAAGCCTAAAATGATTCGGACCCGTGCTTTGACTTGACCGAAATATCGAATTTTTACTGGATTTTCCCTGCAGGACCTCGGTTTTCTACAAAGTTACATTTTCGAATTTCGGTCTAAAAGCTTGCACATTCAAAGGTCGCCATTACAGTAGTTTGTCGAAAACATCTCACAATTTTTGGACAATACATCTTTGAGATATGAATTTTTTAAAATGGGGGCGCTTTATGATGTTAAACGTTAACCTTTTCAATAAACAGAGTATCCCAATATAAATATTCTTAATCAATTGTAGTTCTGCATATAGAAAAAATATTCGAAATAATAAAGAAATTTCTCTGTTGCTGAATATTTTCTTGAAGCACCATTTGACTTTTCGTATCCTCAACTTGGACTTGTTTTCACAGGCGATGAAATTGGTCGTATTAACAGAAATCTTGGCTGGTGTTATAAATCAAAAATTGAGTACAATGTTGCATTGGAATATTACAAAAAATGTTTGAATTTGTTTACGACACAATCAGATATTGCTGGTGTGTATCGTTTGATTGGATCAGTATATGGTGACATGAACGAATATAGTTTAGCAATTGAATACTACTTAAAGGCATTACCAATACGTGAAACAAATGAACCGTGGGATAAACTAAAAATTGCAAGTGATTATAATAATATTGGTTGGTACTATGGTTTAAATAAACAATATGATTTAGGTGTTGAATATTGTACAAAATCAACTGATATTTATGAAGAATTTTCTTTACTAGAAGCAGATCAAGAAAAGTCTTATAGTAACACTCTTAATAGTTTAGGTGTAATATACTATGGTATTGGTAATATTGAAAAAGCATTCGATTATTGTCAAAAATCGATGAAAATATTAGAAAAATTATCTTGTAATGACTATAGTGCTAATGCCTTTAATTATGAAATATTTGCTAATGTATATTTAAACAAAGGTGAACAAGAAACAGCGATAGATTACTATAAAAAATCATTAGATTTATTAAAAATTACACAACCAAATGATCATCGAAGTAGAGAACGAATAGAAAAGAAATTAGCCGAAATGAATTGTGAACAAAATTTTGAAATATAAAACTGTTTGTATATCATAGTATTGAATAAAAACTAAAAGTTCGACAACGTTAAACGCGATAAAAACCCAGAATCTGCGCGAACGAAACTATGGATAATTTTATAATCTTCTCATTGATATGTCAAAATTTTAAATAGAACTAGAGTCGATAAAAACAACATTTTTGGATAGAGCATGGTCTCTAAAAGAAAATGTTCAAGTGAATAGATACTCAAAACAGCCTGATTAATTGTCTATCAAATGCTAGTTAGTAGCTAATGAAACAGGCCTTAAATGGCATTGTTTAGACAATTGCTACTGTAAAAAAAAGATCTATTTAAGACCCTAAAACGTTACGAGTTTTAGGTTCTGAAAACAGCCAGTTATAACGGTGCCATTTTGTTGGATCTGGGATCTGTTTACAAAAAATTCGCGGAATAGTCAGCTAATTAAGTATTATATAGTACCACTTAGAGATGGACCGTAATGAAGTCGAATAGAACGAATACGTTTAATGTGAAGTATACGAAGCGGCAAAAAGATGAACTGTCTCATTTTCGTTCTTTTCAGTCCATTGTTACTCTCATTACGAATAGTCAACTATTCATATAGCTTAGTTCCGTTTGTTTTCATTCGGAAAAGACAAACTATATTATCACTGATTTATGGGTGGGTATAGATGAAAGTAGTTCGACTAAACGTAATAATGAGCTCCTTACGTAAGAAGTTCCTTTCTCATTGGCTCTAAAGTTTCTTCGTTCACAATATATGTCTCGGTAGTATGTAAACGACAATAGACATACTACTACTTTCATACGTTCTTGGATTTACGGCCAATTCAACGCTCTGACTGTAATATCAAAGGTTATAGCAGTCCAGTGACTTTCCGCTGCTTCAGTAATTTCATATCTTCACTAAGCGTAGACTTGGCTTGGGCTTGGAAAAAATATTTTACAAAATATGGAGTAACAAAGCCATACGTTGTTGTGAACGATAGTTTATCCACCATTCATCACAAGTTAATGACAGATCACTGCTTTATTAGTCATGGTGTCTCATACCCTAGCAGACAAGGACATCCCAAAAACGCGAGTAAGCGCTCAAAAAAAATTGGACATTTTTCGATGCCAATTGCGGTTCCCGATTGTGTGCTTAAACGGTAATAATTATGGATTGTATAAAAAGTGATCGTTTACATGCCTAATATTTTTGATCATTTTTTCCTTCAATCGGGAGCCGTGACTGTCATCCAAAAACTACCCCATTTTTTTTGAGCGTTTACACGGGTTTTTGGGATCATTTTGTCTCCTTGGGTGGTCTCTTTCGTTGCAAGTTGTCGCTCTACTACATATCTTCAGCGCTGTAGTAAGAAGATCGAAGAAAGAGAATCGTAGGCATTCTCTCATTACTTGTCGAATATTGCGAAATTACCTTTTCGCAAATATAAAATCACGTAGTATATATATGGTGAGTCAGCTTCGTTCGAGGATTAAAACATCTATTCAAGTATGCAATTGTGAAATACTCAACCTCAGTCGTTATGTAAGAGAAAACGAAAAATGATGATGACTACATCATTTTACATTTATGATAAGGTAATTTCGCAACATTTGCACGTAAAAATAGATTGACTACGCTTCTCTTTCGTTGTTCTACTTATTTCAGCGCCCGGACATGTAGTAATTTTACCCCGGTTCATTGCATTTGTTGAGTATCACTTCCATACATAAGAAGTCCCTCTTTTCGACAGTTACTTGTCAAATACTGATAAAGGTACGAGGTGCTCACAACTAGTGTGAAATTTCTTCTCTTTACCGTATGAAATAGAATACAATCATCGGAGTTTAAACATAGTTGTGTAGAACGAATATCCAGTTCTAAACTATTTACGAAGTAAACGTTCAATTGTATGTAACCTGTGATAACGGCAAGGAGGAAAAAGCTGATCTTGGAATGTTGAAGATTTTCAGAATTTTAAATGGTTCTCAATATTTGTTTGCACTGTTAATGATTCACTAGATGTGCTGTTGACATTTTCTACATTTCACAAAGCATCCACACTTTCTCGCTGTTCTCACTAATCGGGCACTAACCCATATGAAAATCTGTGACTGTTTCGGTTTATGTCGTTATAATCGAACCGCACTTCTTCCACCCAAGACCACAGTTTTATTCGATAATACAGAGAACAACCGAAGTCATTACATTCTCCGTCATATGTTGATTAGAGACCGAAATCGAACTGATTATTCAGCAACTCGATTCGACCTGCAGAAGAATGTGCCGAAGTGATATGTTGATCTTAATACGAGACCTCTTTAACTATGCAAAATCTATTGAGATTAGAGAAATTCATCTCCTTGAACCGTTTTGTTCGAGTTCTCCTCATTTTCAACATACAACATAGTAGTTCAGGACACATCGCATGTCACAGCTATATGATATAGGACAAAAAACCTCTTTTTCGTATTCTTTTTCTGTAAAGGGCATAAGAACATAAATCTCTTACTATTTTGTTTCATAAGACTTGTTTTTTGTTGTCATGGCAGAACATGTTGACTTGGTAGTGCAAGATAGAATATTTAGTTAATACACAAGTATACTAAGCATAGCATACATTTCTTTCTAAAATTAAATTAGTTTTTCACCAGGAGACTATTTTAAAATTAATACGTTGATTTTAGATCGATTTATTGGACCATGAACGTAATACCATTCTTATATCAACCTGCGATACAAGCGCTTATTTTCTTAATTGCAAATATTTTCGCTTTAATATTCGCCGTTTGTTTTGTTCAATCATTTTCATTGGTTTCTTTATTTATTTATTCGATTATCGTTGTATTCATATGTAGAAAAATAGCACGTGGCGGTTCATACACGCCATCTGAAAATACAGATTTAACCGGGCAAACAATTATAGTTACAGGAGCAGCATCAGGCATTGGACGCGTATCAGCGGTTGAATTTGCTAGATTAGGGGCAAAAGTTATTGTTGGCATACGTGGTCAAAGTAGAGCTGAGCAAATAGCTCAAGAATTGGAACGTGAAGTACGTGTCATCGGTAGTAGCAAAATAACTGGTTACAATTTGGATTTATCTAAGCTTTCGACAGTGAAAGATTTTGCCGATAAAATTCTTGAACATGAGCAACATATCAATATTTTATTGAATAATGCTGGCACCGCACATCCACTACATTCATTGACATCGGATGGATTGGAAATCGTATTCGGTACGAATCATATTGGTCATTTCTACTTAACGCAACTTCTTTTACCATTACTAATTCGATCAAAAGCGCGTATTATTAATGTTAGCAGTATGGCACACTGTTTTGTAGATAATGGTATTAACTATGAATTTTCTAGTTCATCTTATAATTCGAGAGTAGCATATGGTCAATCTAAATTAGCTCAAATATGGCATGCTTGGGAATTACAACGACGTTATGGTCAACTAGGTATAAAAGCCTATTCATTACATCCGGGACTGATTTATACAGATATAACACGAGGGACGTCAAAATTATCTACATTGATTCATCAATTAATATTATCGATAATTGGAAAATCATTATTTCAAGGTGCGCAAACAAGTTTATATTGTTCATTGTCTAATCAAGCAAAACCAGGAAAATTTCATGCCGATTGCAAAGAAGCTACATCAAGTCCATTGGCTTATAATCAAAAATTAGCTGAAGGATGTTGGGAGTTTAGTGAAGGTATAATCAAAGAAAAAACGAAATATTTCTAAGTCAACGTTGAACTATATTGTACGCCATTCATCCCGAGTGCAGGATTTACTGTCCGCGGATTTACTGTCCGTTGATTAATTTCTATTTTAATTAGCTTTTTTTCATAGAAAAGTATAATTTTCTTATATACGGATTTACTTTCCGTTGATTAGATATAAATATATCTCAA